AACGACGCTCGAACCAGCAGAACTACTAGAGGACGTTGAGGCAGTGGACTGATGGGAAGCATTCACGGAGGCTGCGCGAGACAGCGAGGGCCGCCTCCCAGAGGGGTTTCGAAGAGGCGACGCAGTACCACCCTAAGGAGGGGGTATTGTAACGGGCTGAACGCCCTTTAGATAGCTCCTCGATGGAATCTTGGTCAAGCAGCAGACGCCAGGTCTTACTCTGCAACCCGGCATCTGTGCGAGGCCTGAGCGGCGCCCAGACGACGCGCTCAGACACTCGGTGCAACCTTTCTCCGACAAGTAAATAAACACCACGCAAGTAGACTCTATAGCTCTCTATCGAATACAACCTCTTGTATACCTCGCGATTGCTCCCTGGAGCGCAGCCCCTTACATCTATAGCCTTATCTTTAGTAGAGCACTAATTTTAGTAGGGTGTTGCATCTGCTAAACAGTTGCAAGCACTGACCACCTACAGTAGCATGTGGCTTGCTGATTGGTGTTAGTGTGCTACACTCAGCGTAGCTCCAGATCTGTATACATCCCAGCAACAAGTAGCTGTTGATCCGTAAACCGTGAGTAGCGTTTCATGTCTCTGGTCGACCTGACATGCCATACTCTTGCAAGTAGGGGTTGTGAACGTGTGTGATTTAAAGAAAGTGTTTTTCGGATCACTCGCAACACACAGCCTCTAGATACATGTGTAGGTATATGTCTATGTATGTATGGTGCGTACTCTGCAAGGGTTTATGATCATTCAATCGACTATCGGCCGATCCACGTAGATCTGGGGAAGAGGGAGGCTAGCTTGTCTTTCCCCATATTGTTCGCCTACGGTAGGGCTACTACCGAATTGTCTACAGTACAGTAGTGCAAGCCCTGTCAATAAAAAAGCTGGATTATCTATATCTGAAGTCGGTGCTACTACAAAAGCCCGCCTTCGTAAAACATCAACATGACGCACTCAGCAGACATCATGCCAAACATTGAACCACATTCGTATAAATTGTACTACGCCTATGGTTTTGTTCCAATCTTTCTTTTCTTCTTAGCACGATATGTTTACCAGACCCTGGCTTCGCCTCTGCGCAATGTGCCAGGCCCATTCCTTGCTCGTTTTACGCGACTGTGGGAGCTTCAGTCTATCCGCAAGCATGACAACCCAACGTTGAACATCGCGCTACACGAGAGATATGGCAAGTTGGCCCGTTTTTTTCTTTCTCTTCGCTACTAGATGACGGCAGAACAGAGCTAGAGCCACTGACTAATTCAGGTCCTGTTGTGCGCCTCGCACCGAACGGATACAGTCTGAACAGCAGCGAATCCGCGAAGGTCATCCTTGGTCACCGCAACGGTCTTGACAAGTCAAAATATTACCATCCATTTGGCCTGGCGAGTGTCTTCAATGTCTTCACAGAAACGAGGTTATCGGTGCATGCCACAATCAGACGCCCGTTGGCACAGCTGTACTCACAAACAGCACTCCTTTCCTACGAGCCCTTTGTTGACACATGTAACTCTCTCCTGCTTAAGAGGCTCGAAGAGTATGCCGAAAATGGTGAGACTATGGATCTCCGGGATATGATGCAATTCTACGCCTTCGATGTCATTGGTGAAATCACAGTTGGAACACGGTTTGGCTTCATGGAGGTTGGTGACACAACCGGCATCATCACTGCCATCGAAAAGGGCACCACATACGCCTGCTTCATGGGATTGCTACCTGAATGGCACTGGTGGGTATCAAAATTGTCTGAAATCCTAAAACGGCAGCCAGGCTTCAAGAAAGTAGTCAACTTTGTGTGCCACCATGTGGACAATCGCATCTCAGGACGTACCAAGTCGCCTGGAGACCACAGCGACTTCCTGGACAAGATGCTGCGTGTGGAGAAAGAAGGCAAAGCTACACGCTTTCACATCGAAGAAGCTACTATACAAAATATCAATGCTGGTTCCGATACTTCGGCTATCGCCCTTACCACAGCCATCGCCCACCTATGCGTCTACCCCAACACCCTCGCCGCTCTCCGCAACGAACTCGATGCTGCTGCTGCTGCTGCTGCTGCCGGTAGCCTATCTGACCCAGTGACCTTCCAAGAGGCTCAGAAACTTCCTTACCTCCAAGCAGTCATCATGGAAGCCTTGCGCATCCACCCCGCCGTTGGGGCGCCATTGACCCGCGTAGCTGGCCCGGAAGGCCTTCAGATTGATGGGTATTACTTCCCACCCGGCACCGAAGTCGGTGTCAATGCCTGGGCTGTCCACAACAACACATCCATCTTTGGTCCGGACGCACACGTTTTCCGCCCAGAGCGCTGGCTCACAGAGAACAAGGAGGAGCGCGCGGTGCTGGACAGAAACCTCCTCAGCTTCGGCAACGGTGCGAGAACATGCATCGGGAAGAACATTAGTTTGATGGAGATGAGCAAGGTCATTGCCCATATTGTTCAGAAGTACGATTTTGACCTTCAGCCGAATGATCAGGGTCAGAAGTTTAGCTGGAAAACGAGGTGGTTTGCAAAGCCGATTGTACATGCCGTAGTCAAAAGACGTTCACGAGGTTAGAGGATTTGATTGTCATGCTCTCACACTACACTACACTTCAATACATGTATACAGCTCATGTTGGTGATAATGCCCCGCTAGCAAGCCTTGCTGATCTTGAACCCTCCGGGAACCAGCTTCTGGAAAGTCTGACTAGGGTCGTACCTCCTCGACACATCCTTCATGAACTCTACATTTTTCGCGCCATAGCCACAAAGCGGCTTCTGAGATGGAGCCGCAAAGTTCTGGTATAAGAAGCGATGTCTGTTTGCGCCGGCAGCTTTGCTGACCGCATCGACCCATTCCCTCGCCATCTCGTACATGGCGGCATCCTGGGCAGCATCGATCCATCGCGGCGTTATGAAGGCCACAATGAGATCCTCTGGGTTCTCTTCTAGCCCGAGCACATTTCCGCCTTGGGCTGCAGCGTGTGTCGAGTCGATCCTGGCAGTAGGCACATAGAAGTTGACCCAATCCAGATATTTCACCGTCTTGTTGTACTTGAGGTAGACTTGGTCCGATGCATTGTGGACAGCGAACAGGGTGGCTGCATCGTTTTTGAAGGTAATGGTTGCAGACGTGTCGCGGAATCCGTCGGCCTGGTTGGCGTCGAGTTCAGTGACAATATCGCCGATCGTGCGTAGGCCCATTGTGTTGGCGATTTGAGGCTGAAGCGATGTCAAGGGAGCCAGACCGGTAGAGTTGACAGTGCCGTCTGTGCTCGCCAGGGACAATGCAATAAGGGCCTGGCCAGTTGCAGTGTACGTGATGACCACCTGCGCACCATTGTTGGGTAGCGTGTTGCTGAGGGTTGTGAAGTTGACAATTGCATTGAGAGATGCAATGGCCGAGTCTGGAAAGTATGGTAGCAGGATCGAACCGCCCCATATCTTGGGCTGCTTGATGGCGGTGACATCAACTTGCGTCACAACCCCAAAGTTATTGCCACCACCCTTGAGCGCTTTGAAAAGCGCACTGTTGCTCTTCTGATTTGCATCGACTATAGCGCCCGAAGCCAGCACCACTTGGTAGTTGACTACGTTGTCCACAACCCATCCATGGCTGGCAAGCAGGTATGATTCTCCACCGCCTGTGGATACACCGCCGATCCCAGTGCCTCCACACAGGCCGCCCGGAACAAGCAGACCTTTGTCAGCGAACGCTTTGTACACCTGACCCCACCTAGCACCAGCTCCCAGGCGTACAGTCGTTCCATCCGGAGCGAGCTCAGCCTGATTGAGAGCACCAAGCACTATCGAAACACCACCATCAATGTTGTTGGCACCCGGGATCGGATTATGGCCACCAGACTTGATTGAAAAGGGGCACGAGTTTGTCGAGAGTAGCTTGACGCCTTTGGATACATCTCCAACCGTCTTTGGCTGAAAGACGCAGCCAGGTGCGAGGATGCTCGTGTTGGACCAGCGCTGATTATTGAGATCGCTATATGTAGCCTCATTGCTCAAAAAAACCTGACCTGGGACTTTGGTTTTGAGACTTTGGCACTATAACAGAAGCCTATATGTTAGTTGAGTTCGTAAACGGTATGTGCGTGGTGTATGGATCGTGATAGTCGATCAAGAGGTATTGGAGTTCAAATTCTATCTCCATTTCTCCGGGCCAACAGGAGGAGCAGAGGCATAACAAGGATCTTGCCTTGGTGATATGAGATAAGAAAAATATGTGAGGAATGACTAACGCAATTGAACGGGGCCCCAGCCGCACAGACAGCCGCGTTCAGCAGCAGAAGCAGAGCGCAGCGCATTTTTTTCCCTTCTTCTGGAACGACAGAGATGTAACAATAATGATAAAAATTCCAACAATCGAAAGTCTGATTGGGGGAAACGACTGGTGATGGGGTGGTTGCAAGAGGGCTGAACACCATCACCACATGCCTATAAGTGGTCGAAGGCGTACCATTGTCACCTGTTCGGGAGTCGGAGACCGGCATCGGGACGGGGCTCGCGTACACCTCGCCATATAGAGGTAACATCTGGCCCCATTCTCGGAATTGATGGATTTTGAGCTCTTGTCTGGTGTTTCTCCGACGTTTGCCCGTGCGGAACCCACATAGGCTACCTCAACGTTGTCCTTATAAAGAATATTGTGTTGATCAGATGTTTTGTCTGCAAAACCGACTAGCAAGCTCTTTACTAGAGTACGATATTTCCTCAACCTTGTCGACTTAACAAACTCAACGTCTCGTTTGCGGCACAATGACTGAAGCATGGAAGGCATTGGAGCAGTGCCTACCCCCTAGGGACAGCAACAGCGACACATGGTGGCAGCTCACAGGCCGTCATCTAGCTACGATTTTGGATGCGGCAGGGTATCCGGTCGAGAAGCAATATGAGGCATTACTGTTCCACTATCATTGGACGGTACCGTACATGGGTCGCGCCCCCGGGCAGCCACAGCGTTCCCCGTCTGAAGTGGCTTGGAAATCGCTCTTGGCCCTGGACGGCACGCCAATAGAATACTCTTGGAAATGGAACACTGCCGAGGATGGCTCTTTACCCAATGTACGCTACGTGGTAGAGCCTATTGGACGCGATGCAGGCACCGAGCTAGATCCGTTGAACCAGCAGGCGTCGCGTGAGCTGCTCTTCAAGCTCAAAAGGATTCTGCCGGGCATGGACAATACTTGGGCATGCCACTTTTTTGCGACGCTGTTCGACCACGACCACGCCGTGTTCATGACCGAGGCTGCGCGTGGGGGTCATTTGGGTACTAGCGTGCAGCTTGCGGTTGAATTCCACGACAAAGCAACGGCTATCAAGTCGTACTTCTTCCCTCGCAAGTATGGCCAGGCTGGCCTGATGCCGCTTGAGCAGTGGAGAATGTGCGTAGACGAGCTGAAAGCGGGGCACAAATCCGACTCCGGGGCTCCAGCAGCTGCCTTCTCGACACCGGCGCGCACTGCCGTCGACCAGTTCCTCAGTACCAGCCCGTACGGCCAGAAGCTCACGCCCATTTCGCTGGCCGTCGACAATGTCACACCGGAAGCTTCACGTCTCAAGTGGTACTTCCACACGACGCAGACGAGTTTTGCGTCAGTGCGTCATATCATGACACTCGACGGCGCCATTGCTTCGCCCAAGGTCGATCAGCTTCTCGATCAGCTTGCCTCACTTGTGAATGTCGTCAATGGGCTCGAAGACAAGTTTCCCGAAGACGCGGAGGTGCCTGCCGGGTCAGAGCTGGAGACCAGTCTCGACTTTGGAGAGCTGACGCAGGCGCTCAAGGGCTACCTGTACTATTTCGACATTGCACCTGGCAAGGCAGTGCCCGAAATTAAGCTCTTCGTGCCTACCCGGTACTATGGACGCAACGACCTGGTGCTTGGGCGTGCACTCACCCGGTGGATGGAGGCGAATGGACGGGGGTCGCACTGCCAGAGGTACCTCGAGATGCTGGAGAGGCTAGCTGGACATCGGCGGCTGGACGAGGGTAAGGGTCTGCAGACATATGTGAGTTGCCTGTTCAAGAAGGGCGAACTGGACATCACAACATACCTTGGTGCGGAGGCCTTTCATCCGGGGCGCCTTGGGTCCACAGGAGGGGGCCTGTTAACCAAGGCGTCCACGCTGCGCCGTGGTGACTCGTACTAGTCAACGTGGCACGAAGTGACGGTGGAACGATTGGGAGTGGCATGTGTCTGGGGCGCATTGCATGTTGCTGGCGGCTGGGTGGACATGATTGCAGCCAGCGCTCGCTTGCCATGGGCCCGATAGAGGTCTGATTGCGAGGAACCCATGGGTTCGCAGCTGCAGCAGGACACGCAAGCGAAGGCTGACAGGTCCTTGGGCCAACCGCCGTCAATCTCCTGTAATTAGCCATGGGAACCGGGGTTCCGGGGCGCCAAGCCCGAGTGTCATATAGCAGAGCGATACGCATAGTATGTATTCAAGCATGTTGCAGCAGTTGCATTGTTACACTGCAGGAAACACACGGTCCCGAACGTGATGAGCTACCTTCCCAAACCGGCCTAGCGGCAAATGTGCGTCCCGGCGCTGGTGCTAGCATTGTGCAGGCTGGCGGTTCCGACGCTAAACCATGGATGCACACACATGGTATGTAGATGCATATGTGGTATAACCTCAGCACCGTGACAACGCAGCCGTGCCTACTACAACTCTGCGCCGCTTGTCACTCTTGATTACAACACGCACAGCTTCGGAGTGGTCGGGATTCAAAGTCAGATTCGGTCTACTGTATGTGAACTAGCTCGCTCGAGAGGAAATCTAGCAGTCTACTCATGCCTCGTGCAAACGCCCTTCGACCACGACAAAGTTGGACCCAGGCGTGCGCCACATCTTTTCTAGCTTCAGGCCCGCCGAATCGAGCAGTTTGGCCCACATGTCCTCTGTGCGTTCACAGCCACCAATACCCATCATATTAACGTCTTGCATGGTAAGCTTAGCAGGCGCACCCGTAGCCGGTACCTCGTATTCGGCAATCAGGACCCTGCTGTCTGGCCCCATGGAAACGGCCGTGTTCTGAAGGATGCTTTGACACACGGCATCCGACCAGTCATGCAGAACGCGACGGAAGAAGTAGGCGCGTGCATTTTTCACAGGATTCGGCTCGAAGAAGGACGCAGCCTGAGCCTCGATCGCTGGCGACAGACCGCCCGCGACGGCGTCCTTGATGACGGGCGCCTGATCCTGGAGCACAAGTTTCCCCTTCAGGCCGGGAAAGCGTTGCTTGATGCGTTCGAGAGCGTGGCCCCGGCCGCCGCCAACATCGACCAAAACGACTTCGTCCTGTGCCAGCGGGACAGCATTGAGCTCTGCCTCGAAAGGATATGAGCTATCGAATTCCTTGACCGTGGCCTGTGAGCGCATGCCGTTGTTGAAGGCTTGGAACTTGCTCTCGTCGGCCTGGAGATACTCCCAGAAGCCCAAGTCGGTATGGGCGCCCAGGTGGAAGGCGGAGTGGTTGTAGTCGTCCGGGTTTTTGTACTGTGTTTTGGCGAGGAAGTCGGGTAGGGCAAAGGCCGCTTTGCCTGCCATGTCGTAGATCTCGCTGAACATGGATAGCGATTCAGGGACCAGGAAGGCACGTGACAGATGATTATGTGCATATGCGTCCTGGCCGGTTTCGGTGAAGATGTGGCACGAAGCGAGAGCGCGCATGATTCGAGCCACCACGACGCCATCTGCACCGACCGCCGAGGCGATATCCGCAACGCTGATGCTTGCTGGGGGGGATTCGGCTGCCGAGTTGCTCCAGGGCACGACGGCAAAGATGTTGAGGGCGCAGGCGATGCGAATGCAGGCGTTTTGCGTGGTCCGCGTCACGGCAAAGAAGACATTCTCGTCTGGATAGCGGGCGGCGATGGCGAGCTTCTCGGCCGCATCGACGAGCTGACAGCGCGTCTCTTGGTGGGCGAAGCCATTGGCCGCGTCGAAGGCGTCCCCAAGATGGGTGATTGTGCGCACAAGGGAGAGCAGGGTGCTGGGCGGCGCAGTCATGGTCGCGTACTTTGTTTAGCTCAGGCGGGCGTGGGATGGCACATGGCTTGGGTAGCCTACAAGTCTTATGCGTTTGGAATGCAAAGCAAAGCTTGGTGCTTGCATGCACCGCTCGGGGGGCCAAGGCCCGAGACGGTGTGCCGCTCATGCCATGTCGGAGCGTGCAAAAGAGGCTCGCAGCGGTGTTGCGTCGCGTTGCCTTGCCAGCAGCACCAGCATGGCGACACGAGGCCCGAGGGGGCTGGATCCCGTGTGCCCCGTACGGGTATTTAGGCGCCCTTGGTCCCTTTAGTTCACGGAATTCCTTGCCATGGCCCAGCATGGATTCGAGACATGGCGCCGACCTCGTTAGCGCAGCCCAACACCTCGCAGACCAATGTCGCGATGCGGTGCGCAGTGGGCCAGGGCTGTCGGACACTGCCGGTATCCGCGCGGCCTTGGATTGCGTACAGTCGCTGCTGTTCCAGCTCGAGCCGACTGCCTTTGTCCAGCGACTTGCAGACCAGGTGCGGCCGCCTCCACTCTCCTCGTCCCTCGCCTCCCGTCCCTCGCCTCGCGCCCCTCGCGCCCCTCGCGCCTCTTCGTACGCACCGCCTGAGGTCGGTGCTTATCTGTTGTAAGCAACTGCTGACATGAGCACAGAGTCAGCTCCTTGCGTGCGTGCAGTGGTTGGGCGAGTTCCAGGTGCTGGCCTATCTGCCGCTCGAGGCAGACCAAGGGCTGCCTATCCAGGACATGGCCGAGCTGGCTGACGTGCCTGAGGCGCAGCTGTGCCGGATTGTGCGTCTCACAGCCATGGGCGGCTTCTTGCGCGAACCACAGCCTGGCTATGTTGCCCACACTGCGCTTTCGGCCAGCTTTGTCCGGCGGCTGGCTCAGCTAGACTCGGCCATGTTCCTGGCCGAGACGGTGGCGCCGTGCATGCTACACATGGCGGCCGCCTCCCGGCACGCCCACACGCACCAGGCCGAAGGGCTCGCCATGGACTGGGGCAGCAAGCGGGTGCAGCGGTTGTGGTCAAGCTTCGTGGGGGCCATGGGCGGCGCTGATCAAGACTCTCACATCCTGGCCCAGATCGACTGGGCAAGCCTGGCTCGCGATGCCGCGCCGTCGCCGCCGAGGGGGGGTGGTGGTGGTGGTGGTGTAGTGGTAGTGGTGGTGGTGGTGGTCATGGCCATGATGATGGTGGTGGTTGGCGTCGACGACGTGGGGGGCTCTTCTCCGCCCCGCGGCCCGGCGGCGGCAGCGGGAGCGGTCCTGGCGCTGGCGGAAAGCCATCCCGCCCTGCGCTTTGTCGTGCAGACGACGGACGCGGCGCCGCCCCCAAGCGCCACCGCCACTGTCTCCGCCACTTCCGCCACCGCTTCCGCCACCTCCGCCTCCGCGGCCCCCACGCCCCCCAGCCACAGCACCAGCCACAGCCACAACCACAACCACAACCACCACCACAACGTCCGCATGTGCCAGCGAGCCCACGGCGCGCCGCAGACCATCACCGACGCCGCCCTCTACCTCGTGCGCGTGCCCGCAAACATCCCCGGCCCCATCCGCCCACGCATCGCCGCCGAACTGCGCGCCCACCTGCCCGTCCTCCAGGCGCAGCGAGGCGCGCTGCTGATCCTAACGTCGCCTCTGCTGCCGGAGCCTGGCACGGTCTCACGTCAGACCGAGCTGCTCGCACGCGTGCGCGACCTTGCCCGCCTGCAGCTGGTCGGCAGCGGCCTGTTGACCCTGCAGGAGCTGGTGGAGCTTGTTGGCAGCATCCACGACGCCCACGGCGGCCTGGTCGTGGTCAAGCAGCTCCACGCCCCCAACAGCGCCTTCGTGGGACTAGGACTGCGTTATCAGCCCTTGCTGCCGCTGACCGGCTAAAGTGTCATGGCCGTGGGGGGCCTGACCCCGCGAACCATGGAGGAGGCAGCCAGAGCGGACCATGCCTTTTGTCGTATTATGTAGCACTTCTCGTTGTTGTTGTTGTTGCTGTTGCAACCGCTCAGACGGGAGCCATGTAGACCAACTAGCAGTATACCCTCTCGACCCACACCGATGGTGACCAGCCGATCTCTCGTCCTTGTCGTTGTAGTTGGCATCGTCGTCATCTTCCCTCGTCGTTGACCACCACCAGAGCGTGGCTTCACAGCGAAACGGGTTAGTGTTGCACACCAACATGGCCAACCCCTCGGCCTCGACGCCGCTCAAGCTGCGTGACAGCTGTGACGCCTGTGCCGCATCAAAGGTGAAATGCCACAAGCAGAAGCCCACCTGCTCGCGTTGCCAGAGGCGTGGCACTGCCTGCCACTACCTGGCCACCAAGCGCTCTGGCCGCCGCGTCGACTCGGTCGCCTTCTCTCCCGCCACTGCGTCGTCAGGGACGCACTGGGAGCATTTCGACTTGGACTCATGGCTCAGCGCGAGCACCACGATAGCATCCACCCACTCGACCAACGACGACATCTTCCTGCGCCAGTTGCTTACCCCGACTGCCTCCTCTGCCGGCGCTACTTCCGCCCAGTCCTCGGCCCTCAATCTATCCTCTGCCGGACCCAACGACGATCCTCTCATGACGCAGTCCATGTCGACCGTCACGACCCCTTGTACGCCCTCAAACTCTCTGGGGGCCGGGTCTGGTGGTGTATCGCCCGTACACCTGCCCATGGACCTGGACGACTACCTGCCATCATCCATGGGCCTCTGGGCCCCCAGAATCGACGACACATCCGCTCTCGACACACTGCCCCCACTCGAAATAGGCACAGAGTCGCAATCCTCGGCTTCAGACATCGCTACCACATCCCTCGACACCTGCCTCACACGAGCTACAAGAATCATGCAACAACAATTCTACCAAGCCACTTTGGAATCGTCAAATACTTTCTGTAAGCTTCGCGAACAAGGCGAAAATACAAGTGTAACCGGACCAGCCCTGGACCTCGTCATCGAAGCGAACAAGCAGTACATTAGCCAGGTTGACTCCATGCTGCAGTGTCAATGCTTGCATGACGGCTATCTCCTCACAATACTCTCACTCATTGTGTTCAAGGTTTTGGACTCTTACGACGCAGCCGCAAGCTCATCCGAGACTCAAAGAGCTGATACCGATGCCACAGAAGATGATGTGCGGCGTATGGCTGCACAGCGCGTCATGGGCGAGCTGCATCGCGTACAGCGTCTAGTAAACCAGCTATCCATCAACATCAAGCGACACACAACCACAGAAGCCCAAGAAAAAGTGCTAGGATCACTTACATCCGATAGGCGGAATGTCGAGGGCGAAGCATTTCTTCCCTTCTCGACAGTCATGCTGAGCCAATTGGAGACGGATATGAGAAAACGACTTAGAAGCCTTTCGCTGGCAATGACGCTGCATCTTAGAAGGGGTTGAGCATTGTTAGATAGACATTATTCATTTCAATATCTTGTACATCGCTTCTCTTGCTTGCATATCCCCACTGTGCTTGTTATGAGCCCCGAGTACTCTCTGGCCAGCGATGAAGGAGAGTGCCTTAATGGGAAGGCTATCACTCTGGATGGTGGAGCTGCATAATTGCACATTGATGGAACTTTCTCAGGTAGCCATGACAAAGCTCAAGTGTCTGGATATAGATCACTCTGCATAGATAATTCTATGACCAATCAGCACTTGTACAATCATCTGCGAAAGATTTGAGGTAATCAATTATTTGCCTGTGTCAATATTACGCTCCTCCTTGCATCCTCATCGCAGATATCTCGTGCCACTTTGGGCATAGATCACCTTATCAACCGGCAGAGTCAAAGCCGTGCCATCTTCATCGTGAAAGCACCACGACTTCGAAAACTAAGCCTTATTTGGTGAGTGGATACAACGCCGAGAGCAAATTCAGGTACACTTCTGCAGATGAAAACTATTTACTCTTTTTTAGTAACACGGGAATCAACAGTGCAAGGTTTGTCAGCATGCATCAGTCTTGATTGACGCGTTAAGGCCCCCTATTTGGCGCCTCAACCCAGCCATCTTACGTGGCGGCCCTGTATATGCTTATCTTTCCCGATTGGGCGCTTTGCAGCGAAGTATGTCGCCACCATGACTGCATAATCAACGTTAGAAACCCAGCATGCGACACTCCAGTCATGTTTCCGAAATACTCAGCAAAGTCTAGTACAGATGGGGACCATCTTTGAGACCAATTTGTTATGGGAAAGTTTGATTCGGGCATCACCGGCGAGCTCGGAATCCGACACGCACCCATGCCGAGCTTGCGGAACGTAACCCTGACCGGATGTCTGCACACATAGACATGCTAAATATACTCAGCCGCAGTCGATTGATTGAGAAAGAATCCCGGCCACCAGGGGCGCTACTTGCTTTCCACGTGCTAAATCCCAATACCCAGAGCTATGGTTGTACATGGCCCCGTTCCTGTTCATCCTTGCATAAGAAAAATATGTCCGAACTCCCATCCTTCCACAGCACGTCTTCTGAACCCCTGTCTAGTTGTAGTATTACAAAGTCTGATCATCACGCGGTGATCTGACGATTGCTGACTGGATCCGCTATGCAGAAGTCTCGGATTGCCAGCCAGCCTTTTTCGAATGGATCGAGAGTTATGAGTGTGAAGATTGGGAATGCCTGTCGCCATGCGTAACTCCCACTGTTTGAGTGCGTTCATCTCTAATCTGCCATTTCTCTTTTCTCAGCATGCAGTCACATCCCTAGCTCTTCTGACACTACTATGCTCAGATTGACTGCAGCGCCTTTCTCAACAAGATATGGGAAGCTCTGTCTGCTAAGCACTTTCTCACTATGGCGTCTGATGCTCATATCGTCGGTAGTCCCCTTCTAGAGATGGAATATCATGTTGGTGTATCGAAATGGGTAAAGATGAACGTCGACGAAATTGCAGGCTATCGTTAGATGCGCGTCGCGCACCAGAAATATGCGAGCTCTGGTATAAAGAAGCTGGTGATCAAGAGACATGAATGAAAAAAGCAGTTTCAAGTATAGAACGGCGAAGAGTATGTGGGAACACGTGGGTGTAGAAGCGGACATGCGGTGGAGTGAGTATGATCATGACAAAGATGTTGAGTCTGGAAGACAAGGTAGTTCGGCATCCGAGGGTAACCCCAGCCTTTAAATTTGGTGGATTTAGATATAAGCTTCAATGGCATCATGGATGTTGAGACTTTAGATATAGTCAGTCCCCAGTGACCAAAATCGCCACGGAAAGATATTTTTCGCAATTGCTAATTGTCCTTTCGGAAACAAGATAGTCTTCTAGTTCCGATACTGATTACCCATGTTGTCTTCAATCTCTTTCGATTTGCTGTGCAATTACCACTTAAACCCCTCACAAAAGCCACCAATCCACCGCCTTCGCGAGCTCAGACTGTCACAGGAAAGCACAAAAGTCACGAAAACTTCAAGCTGTAACGCAATTTGGGAAGTGAATACAATTATTCAATTAACTGCTCGATTATGTAGATTCACCACACCTTATGCTAGCCTGTACGTCTTTTTGACAGCATCAGCAACCTATTGGCATGTCAGCATCTGCATTCAAATTCTCAGCCACAGTGACAAGGTAACTTTACCTTTTCAGCCACGGCATACACGTTAGCCATGGGACCTCCAGACACCGCCATAGGAAACGTGCTCACATCGGCGATGCGCAGTCCACTAACACCATAGACTTTGTGCTCCGCATCGACAACGCCGCCTAATTCTCGCGGCATCATAGGCGCAGAGCAGCACTGGTGTGCGCTTGAGACACCTAGTGAATTACGAATTATAGTCTCAAACTCTTCATCGCTTTGGACATGCGCTCCGAGCGGGGCAGCCTCTGCGGTACCCATGACCGCCATGTCGGGTGCAGACATAATCTGGCGCAGCTTTCGCAGCGTCGCAATGAAGATGGGCACATCTGAAGGGTCAGTGGCTGTGCGGTAATCTAATTTGGGTTCCGTCCGAACATCAGTTGACTGAATCGTGATCTTGCCACGACTAAAGGGTTTTAGAACAGCCACCATGACTGACGAGAACGTGTCCCATGCTGTGACTGACACTGCCACGTCCGGATTTTCCAATTGCTGTATGAGTATGCTGCGCTGGGCTTTGTAACCTGCCACAACAGTCCGATCTTCGTCTGCTGGGAGAGAAGCGGCTGCGTCGCGTTTCTTAGCATCGCTGATGACGGAAGCACTGGCCTGGGTCAGATCCTTGAAAGACAGAGCGCCGAAAGTGGTACCAAGGCCCCGCACTATGGTGAATGCACTAGGCTGGTGATTGTCGTATAGCGCCCGCTGCTCAGTGGCGAATGTGGCATTCGTGGCGATGGAGCCAGCATTGGGAGTGATCAGATTGCTGACTAGGCCGAGGTCAGTTTTTTGTGCTGCAAAAAAGATAAGACAGTGCGAAAGAGTTGACTCACAGTTGTACTGCACACTAATCGAAGCATGATCTTGAAAGTTGGTCCCGACTCCTGGTAGCTTTGCAACGATTGGAATACCTAGCGATTTGAGCACCTGTTCTGGTCCAACACCAGACAGCTGCAGAATCTGAGGCGTGTGTACTGCCCCAGCAGCAACTATGATTTCTTTCGAGGCAAGAACAGTCGAAGTATTGGCTCTAGAGCTCCCGAAATATTGTACACCAGTGGCCCGAGTGCCTTTGAAGAGAATCTTGGCCACTTGATGCTCAACCAAGATGTGATAGTTTGAGCGTTTTGAGACCCGGTCATAATGAGCAACACGTGCACTACACCTAGTCTGTGTCTTCGGGTCCAGGGCGCTTGGTACCCAAAAGAGTCCTGCATTGACTCCGGATGATGGGTCGCGGATGGGATTCATGCCAGTTGACTTCGCGGCTGACCACCATTGGCCGGATCCAGGGTAATTGTAGTTTGCATAGCCGTACTGAAGAGGTCCACCGTGTCCCCTGATTGAATCATCCCAAGAGATGTTCGAAGCAGCAGCGAAAGCTGGGTCCGGTGGGTTGAAATTCTCCCCCTAAGTGAAGAGAATTGAGCCAGGAATCTTTGTTTTTGGTTGTTTGCGACGGATCAAACATACCTTTTTGAAAAATGGGAGCATTTCATTCCAACCCCATCCCTTGTTGCCTAGAGATACCCAGGCAGAATAGTCAGCTTTAGTCGCCCTATACTCTCTAGCATCAGTCGTAGATCCTGCAGCAACTGTACGAATTATTAAAGATGTACCTAAGGATGTTCATGGCGTTAATAGTAGAACCGCCTCCAACTACTTTCCCGACAACTACTTGCTCTGTACGGCCGTTCAAAGCAGTGAGAGGTTCCGTCACTAATCCAGGCCAAAAGTATGGAACAGGATTCCAGGCACCGGGTACGCGAACACCATCTTCTCCTTGGTCGAAGCGCCCTGCCTCAATCACAAGGACCGTTACTGCCTTACATCAGCCCAATTATTCACATCAAAATATGTATCAAGATGAACATTGACGAACTCTTGGGATCTTCAGTGAGCCTATCGGCAAGGACAAGTCCCGATGGCCCACCTCCTATGATAACAAAATCGTAATTGGTCGATTGGACCGCTCTTGCCGAAACATATGAAGCATGGGGAGGAATGACAGCGCACTCAACCAATGAGAGCCCGAACGGCAGTACAAGGGCCCAGAATTTGGTCATTTTCTGGTCAGGCGAATAGTAAAAAGATGTGTTATTGGTACCGCTGGAATGGACAACTTGCTTTGAAATCGCATACAGGGTTAAATACTTTATTACGATGCAGAAATCTATAAGAATAGCGCGTCTGCTGGTGTCGGGGGGCGAATCAGCTTGTGGGCATGGATCTCCGAACGCTGCAGGGGCAATGACCGAAACTGGTTAGGAACTGGCGACCAATACCGAGCAGCACCACTAGTATCTAATGCTTTTCGGGACTGGCCAAACAAAGCCGAGCACACGCAAAACAGATGCAACCCTCACGGAAAAATAGCCGCATGGGCCGTCGAATTCTGAAAGTCGGTAAATCGGTGTCCGATCTTTTGTTTAGGGGTATTAGCGGAGTGGCAAAGGTCTGATCGTTTCATTTCTCTGCCTGTCGCACGTCCAGATTCATTTCAGGAAATTATGTGAAGTACATGGTGTGTAGACCCTAGCTACAAGGCTCAGCAGGAGACAAGATTGAGTCCTATATCGCCTCTTGAACAATAGTACTGCAACTCGATGCACGAAAGAACATCCTAATCAAGTCAAGATGAGGATCGTCTGCTTTAGCCACGAGTTCCAAATCGAGGAACTTCCGAACACCTTCAGTGGAATACACGAGCACAGGAGAAATTGACATGATACTATACTTGCCCAAGACCTGCAAAATTGCTCAGTTACTATTTGAGATGAAGTACACTAGTGAATTGCGGAGCTCAGAAGACTGGTTACCACGTTTGAAACTTTCCTTATGTTTTTCGACTTCACCGAGCTACGGGAAGGTCCTCTTTTAGGCTCAGTTGATGGATTTCTTCTGTGCATTATAGAGCTCGGAACACTGGTCGCGTGAGTGCTAAGTCTCTCATATTTTGAGTAGATTACAGCTACTGGGAAGCAGATGCATAGTCATTCCGAAATTGAGCTAAGCCCCTGTGACCAGTATGATACCTGCAAGTGCATTGCCGGCCTAGGGACTGGGCTCCTGGTAAGACCAGCCTTTTCCATGACCAGATCCGTGTGTTGCATTGTGAGAATCGGAACCGAATTCTTACGACAGAAGTTCAGTTTGGAAATTCTTTTTCTATCAAGTCGTCAAAAGTTTATAGCTTGAAGACATTCATAGCAATGTATTACTAGATTTCTGGGCGTACGTTGCGCCCAATGTCACGGCCCCGCAGATCTAGTAGCACCTCGACGCGACGTAAGAAAGGAAATTGCTCTTTTCAAACGTAAACTAAATGATAAAATTAGGACTTCCCTGCTGCCTGCTATCCTGGACTAAATCCTTCCTAGAAAACAGACTACTAGAGCTATCCTTTGATGGCCAAGTAGAAGATCTACAGGAGGTAAACACTAATACGCCCTAAGGCAGCCCCGCTTCTCCAATCCTATTTTTAATCTACATAAAACCACTATTTTAGTCAATTACAACAAATGGAAATATCTACTCCTCTTCTTATATAGACGACCTACAGATATCAGTATCTACAACATCTATTAAGAAAAACGTTAGATTACTAGAAAAAGAGACCCAAAAACTTTTTAACCTAGCAGAGGAGCTAGCAATTAAATTCGATAGCTTAAAGACTAAACTAGTAAATTAGACTAGATTAAAAAAGGATCAAGATTCTCTCACACTACCAACCTAGGAGACCTTTTAACCAAAACAGCAAATTGGATGGCTAGGCATCTACTTTGACAAAGCCCTTAAGTTCAAGGATCACTGCTTTATTAGAAATCAACAGGCAAGCCAAGCCTTTACTCGGCTAAGCAGACTAGCAAATAGCAATAAAGGCCTATCACCTAGAGCCTTTAGACAATTATACCTTGCCTGCATCACTAGCGTAGCAGACTATAGTTGTCAGATCTTCTGGAAACAACAACAACAAGCTCTTAAACAAAGGCAATTACTACAAAACAGAGCGTGTAGGAAGATTCTAGGCACATTTAAGACCTCCCCAACTATACCTAGTGAGGTAGAGGCCTGCCTCTACCCGACCTAGAGTAAGGTTAAACAACGCTCTTCGACAATACGCCTTTAGAGCTCAAAAACTAGCCCCAAACCACCCAATTAATATTGCTATAACTAGCAATAAAGGGGACAACTAGATCAGATCACTAGATCTATCTCCTACAGTCC